GCTGTGAGCTGTGATGCCACAGCACTCTACCAAGGGTGACAAAGCAAGACTCTGTCTCTAAAAATAAAAAAAATAATAATAATTAAAAATTTATTCAAAGACAACCTGATTTAAAAATGGGTTCATGCTACAACATAGATGAACCCTGGAAACATTATGCTATATAAAATAAGCCAGATACAAAAGGACAAATAGTGTATGATTCCACATAGATGAGGTCGCTAGAAAAGGCAAAGTTATAGAGCTAGAAAACAGGATAGAGATTACCTGTTCTACAGTTTCTAGGAGGTGAGGAGAAGGTAGAAGGGGGAGTTACTGTTTAACTGGAACAGTGTGGGGTAATGAAAACATCTGAGAAATGAGTAATAGTGATGGTTGTGCAACCTGTGAAAGTATTTAATGTCCCTGGATTGTACACTCAAAAATGGTTAAAATGGTAACTTTTTTACCACAATGGGAAAGAATTTAATTTTTTAAAAAATGGGCAGAAGATTTAAAGACATGCTTCATCCAGGAAGACAAACAAATGGCCAATTAGCACATGAAAAGGTGCTGGACAGCCCTCTAAGTAGGGAAATGCAAATTAGCCCAACGAGGAGATACTAGTACCAATCCCTGGAACAGGGGGAGGAACCTGCAGCTTAAGGCCACATCTGGCTTTCTAAGTCCTCAAGTACAGCCTTTTGACTGATCCAAATTTTACAACACAAATGCTTTTATTTTTATCAGTGCTTTTTTGTTCATCTTTTTATTTATTTTATTTTTAAAATGAATGTATTTAAAATACCAAAATTAACGAAGTTTTAACAAAGCAATCCTCCCAGATTGACCAGCATAATTAAAAGAGTAGTAAGCCATACGGGCTAAATTAACCACTCAGGATTTAGTTCTAACTTCCTGCATCTGACTGGCACCACTGCTGCAGGAGGCTGGTTGGCCAGACTTTATGGGGGTTGAGTACGCCAGTCTGTTATCAGCTTTTGACAATGGTGCACTGTGTTTCTGTTTGAAATGGAATTTGTAAATAGTTGCACAGCTCAATGGTATTTTTAAATTCTGTCCACTTAACAGTCCATCATGTCCAAGAAGACCCAGAGAACAAAAAGGAAAAAAACAGATTTTCTAATGAGGATTGAGAATTGTAATATTATCTCGTTTCTGCTAAAGATAAGACCAATTTGCTTGCTTTGTGATACTTCAGTATCAACATTAAAGAACTTAAAAGCTCATCAGCACTGTCACACTCATAAGGACCACAGGTAATTTAAACCAGAGGGAAAGGCATGGAAGGTTGTATTGCAGAAATGCAAAGACAATTCTTTCGAACAGCAGTAAGACCTGGCAATAACGCTACTGAAGCAACTTATAAATAGCTTATGTACTTGGGAAGCCATCAAGTGACGCGGTAATTGTGAAAGAATGCACTGTGGAAGTTGCAGGATGTGGTTGAAGTTGTAGGATGCTTACACCCTGAGAACATCTCAAAGTCCAAACAACTGCCTCTTTCAAGGGAGAACCATACTGATCAGCAGCATCAATCAGGCTCCAACTTAACAGAACAACTTCATGCAATATTCCAAAAGGAAAATACATATTATCCAATTATACTGGATGAATCAACTGATAGACAGACTCTGCACAGGCTTTAGACTTCATTCAGGTCATAACAGAAGACTTTCTTTGCTACGAAGAGTTACTCGCTTTAGGCCCTCCTGCAAACAGAACACGGAGAATAGCGGTCTTCAACAATTTTCAAGATAAATATCATGAAGTTGAACTAAATTTGCTAAATTTAGAGAGCACATGTACAGACGGTACACCTTCCGTGACAGGAAAACATGAAGGTTTTATTGCACAGATAAAAAATGTACTAACAGATCCAGATGCTATCATTTCAGCGTATCTTACGTCAGCAAAATCTCTGTGCTAAAGCTACTATTTTAAGTGATACTTTGCAACAAGTTATAAGCACTGTTATTCGTGCAAATGCAAACCTGAGATATTCAGTGTGGATCTGCCCTAGCATTCTAAGAGCCGTTGGCTATCACAGGGACAGGTGTTAGCCAAAATTTAATTTCTGCAGGAACAGATAATTACATTTTATGAAAAACAGAATCAGCAATGTGAATTATTATTGAAAGAAGATTTCTGCAGGAATGCAGCATTTCTATAAGACATGTCAAATCAAAACGAATATTTCTTGCAAGGTAAAACTAAGTCTTATATATGATATGTGGTAAAAAATTCAAACGTTTTGAAAAAAGCTAGCTCTTTATCAAAATACTTCTTCAAAAGGAAAATTCAGATGAACATTCTTCCCAGTTAACCAACATCACTGGTGAGCAGGATGATGTGCAAATCATTTAAAGAATACCCGACTGTTACAGACCTAGTAACTGGAGAATACAAGGAAAGGTTTGCTGACTTTGAGACTTAGGACGTGGCACTCAAGTGAGCATTTCAGCTTCGCCTCGTTGATATCACCCAGGCACCTAAAGAACTACAGAGGGAATTGATTGAGCTCTCAGTAGAAGACATTTTCAATTCACTGTTATATGCTAAGGAAGCCTGAAATATGGACAAATACAGTATGATACCCACGCCTGAAAAATGTTTTCTTGCTTTACAACCACTTATAGCTACATATCTACATTCTCCTACCTGATCCAAATCAAGACTCCCTTAAGGTCACAAATGACTAATACCCATGTAGAGGATCAACGGGAACTGCCCACCACCCCTATGCTGAAACCAAATCTTCAAAATCGTTTCCAACCAAAAGCAGACATAGCAAAGTCTTTAAAAGGTTAGTGGACTTTAAAATTAACAAGTGTTTTTCATGTTTGGAAATTACTAAGTACACAGCAAGGCAGCTTTATTTGATAACATCTAAATTAATGTGGCCTTCCAACATGAAAATGTGCCCCGTCTCTGCCCTGCAGTGACTATCATGGAAAAGACAGATCATACCAAGTGTTGGTGAGGCTCTGGCAAAACTGGACCCTTCATATATTGCTGGTGGAATTATAAAATGGTTCGGCCACTTTGGAAAAATCATTTGGCTACGTTCGTGATTATTGTTATTTTCGTTCCTGAGGCTCAAATGGCTGTGTTTTCAAAGTTAAACATAAGCTCACTATAAGACCCAGCAATTCCACTTCTAATAATTTACCCAACTGAAACAAAAACATATTTCCACATCAAAGACTTGTCATAAGTGTTCATAACAGCTTTACTGCTAAGGATAGAAAATAATCCAAATGTCTATCAATTAATGAACAGATAAGCAGAATGTGGCGTAATTATACAATAGAATACTACTCAGACATAAAAAGGAACGTGGTACGTTCTAGAACGTGGCGGAACCTCAGAAAGATTATGCTAAGTGAAAGAAGCCAGGCACAAAAGACTTAATATTGTATGACTCCATATATATGAAATTTCCAGAAAATACCAATTCATAAAGACAGAAAAGAAATATAAATGAGTGGTTGCCCAGGGCTGGGTGAAAGTAGAGATTGACTGTAAACAGGTTTGTGTGATTTGGGGGGACGCTGCAATTCCCCAAAACTGAATAGTGTTGATGGTTGTCTGATTGCATGAATTTACTAAAAATCATTTATTCTACACTCACAATGGGTGAATTTTTATGGCATTTATACTACATATCAATGAAGCAGTTCAAAAAATAAATAAATAAGGCCTGGCACGGTGGCTCACAGTGTAATCCTAATACTCTGGGAGGCTGAAGGAGGGAGGATCCCACAAGCTCAGGAGTTCAAGATAGTTTGAAAAAGATGGAGACCCCCCCCCATGTCTACTAAAAATAGGAAAAAAAATTAGCTGAGTGTGGTGGCAGGTACCTCTAGTTCCAGCTACCTGGGAGGCTGAGGTAGGAGGATTTATGAACCAGGAGTCTGGGGTTGCTGTGAGTGAGGCTGACATCATGGCAATTTAGCCTGAGCAACAGAGACAATGTCTCAAAAAAAAATTAATTAATTTAAAAAATCTGACAACAGGCTCGGCACCTAAGGCTCAAGTGGCTAAGGCACCAGCCACGTGCACCCAAGGTGGCAGGTTCAAATCCAGCTTGGGCCGCCAAACAACAAAGACGGCTGAAACCAAAAAATAGCCAGGTGTTGTGGCAGGCGCCTGTGGTCCCAGCTACTCAGGAGGCTAAGGCAGGAGACTCGCTTGAGCCCAGGAGTTGGAGGTTGCTATGAGCTGTGATGCCACAGCACTCTACCCAGGGGGACAGCTTGAGGCTCCTGTCTCTCAAAAAAAAAAAAAAAAAATCTGACAACAGAAGAAGAAAAGAGTTAATTTAAGAAGTATAATTAAGGTACAATCCCTATGCCAGGAAGCAAAGATTTTCTTTAACCTAGCCACATGTCTTTAATTCATATATATAATAATCACACGCAAAAAGTATGACCACTGTGCAGAGACAGAAGCCCAGGCCCTAAGTGATCTTAAGCTTTCTGAACTAAACTGGGTGGTCCCGACAACTGCTCAAAAACCAGCAGTAAATTTGCAAATTCTAAAAATAGACAACATTGGCCTTTTATTGGACCCCTTTCAGAGAAAAATCGAGCAATAAAAGGGGTATCTAAGAAGCAATTCAAATGCCAAAATTGTTTGAGTAGTAAACTGTATTACATATAATCACTATGACCTAGAAACATTTAATCTGAAGCAGCAAAGGCTGACCTAGTAATTGATTTAATAGCCGTCTTCAAAGACATGAAGGTTCTTACAGCGAGACTATCTGACGAGTTCTTTTCTCTCTGCATTGAGAGCCAAACAAAACAAAATGATTTAATAATCAGCAAGGTAAATTTAGACGAAACATAAATAACACTGACAGTAACTGCTATCAAATACTGGAATGAATTTAATTAAGATATTTGTGCAAGCTGTTTCCTTGGCGATCATTAAGAATAGCAAGACAGGCAGCTTTGGTCTAAGTGCATTCTTGCTTGGGAGGCGGGCCCACTTACCTCGATGTCCCGATTTAGTTGCTTCACTATGGCAGTTATGTTCCTGATGTGCTCCTCCAAGAAAAGCCTGGCCAAGCGGTCACCTCCTCCTTTGTTTTGCATTTTCTGCAGACTGTTGACAATGTCGTCTTTAATCCGGAAGGCGTGCTCCACGAGGGCGGCGGTGGTTTTCTCATGGCAGAGGATCCTATCTTCCAGCTGTTCCACTAGGCTCACGGATGAGTAAGGTGCCATGGTCAGGGACTGGCTGTGACGGGGCATAGTTCTAACTCGCCTAGGGAAGGGAACCACACCGTGAGGGTTGTTTGTTGGGGGAAAAAAATAATTTTTAAAGCCAGATTCAACACTTCCCGGAGAAAGAAATGTAAATCATCTATTTCTACAAGCTAAATGGGGTTTGAGGCACAGTTTCTGTCCAAAAGAGTTTTTCCCCCATGAGCCAGACAAGATCTTTAAATAATTAAGCCCTTGGACTTGAGTGTGCTAGTAGCAGGTTCTATGACCTCCAAGCAAGAGGCTGGAAGAACTGGGGCCACCAAAATGTCTCCCCATTACAAGCCATATTATCAAGATCAAGCTTACAAACAAAGTCTCCTGACATGCTCCTCTTCTCTTCCTTCCCCCTAAAGCAGTGGTTACAAATCTAAATGCATGCAGAAGTTGGGCAGGTGACATAATTAAGTGACACATGACACGCAGGATGCAATAGAGAGCAGTGCGGACTGTGGAGAACTGGCAGGGGCATTACCCATACAAAGGGAGCCATGATTCTGCTTCACCACAAGTGACAATCTGGGAATGCAGGTCCATTTTTCCAGATCATCTGACCTTTCAAAAAGAGCTAGCAAATTGACAGGAAGTTGAACCCTCCTGCAGACTGTGAAATCTCCATCTCCTGGGGTCACTGAGTAGTGCATAGTACCCTACAAATTGGAAGCTAGGAAAGGAGACACAATAGTACTTCTCTTGCCCTTGAACAAAACCATGCTCAGATAACGTAACAGCCCAAGCCTTCATTTTTAATGACTATCACACCCACTAGCAGCCCTCACGGGATTGGTGAAAAGGAAAAGTGTACCTTAGATGCATATTTTCCATATATTATACCTTTCCTCAGTGACAAGAGAAGGAAATACAGTGCTCCGCTGGGCCATTTTCTTTTTAATAATTCACATCTGTTGGAAAAAATAAGCACTAAATTATTTAACAGTTTATATCCAGAACGTAAGTTAACCTCAAAAACTTATTATTAAGTTGCTAAGTGGATCATAAATTCTGTTGACACTAATCAGTTATATTATTAAACACCTTGTATCTTATATATAAAATAAGCAACACATGCTTCCGAATAAGAAGGAAAAAAAAAAAACCAAGCAAAACCAAAACATTTGTGAAATTAATACTGCTAAGCCTCACTAGACAGATTAATAAAGACTGTTAAGTAGAGTTTCCTGAACTATCTTCTCTCCAAATCTGCATCTCAAGCTTGAGAAACCACTTTTATAGAAATACAGAAACAAGAGTTACTGAAACAGGCTCATTCAATGTTCTATTTCTCTGCAGATATTCACAGACAACAGTAAACTTCATTGTAACAAATGTATTAAGTTCCATAGCAAGTTAAGAGGACTTGTTTCTAAATTAACCTTAAATAAAACAATGCAGGATCAAGGTGACCTGATTTGGAGGGAATCTATGTCTCCACTGAGAGAATGAGAATGATGTTCTTTATTAGAACTTTAGAACTTTATTGTAAGATGCCATCATCCATATTATATCTTGCACATAAGGAATATTTGATTATCACAATTCATTACAAATCTGAACAAAACTAGTTTCTCCATACTTCTGTTAATTGCCTTAAAACAATGAATGCCTAGTAACTGAGATCTGATTCTGTCATTCCTTCCCATTTAGATGCTAGATTCAGAAAGCGTTTCTGATTGAAGCCATTGTTTTGGCATCATCTCGCCAGTGTTTTATTTTAGAAATTCAAAATGTGAACGCTGCACTCTCTAGACAAAGAACTTTAAATATAAACAAATTGCATGTAAGGAAAAAAATAAAAGCAATGCCAAATAAGCTACAACACTCAAGGAGTTCATAAGTATCAAAGATAAGAATTTCTGCCATGTAGACTACAGGAGTGCCCCCCTTATCCACGGAGGATACACTCCAAGTACCCTAGTGTGTGCCTGAAACGTAGATACCAAACCCTAGGTATCTATGTTATTTCCCATACATAGAATGGATCGTAGGTATGTATTTCATAGACATGCCGATAATAAAGTTTCATTTATACATTAGGCACAGTACTCTTCTACTTTGGGACTATTATTAAGTAAAATAAGGATCATTTGAACACAGCACTGTGACACCTCCACAGTCAATCTGATCACGGAGACAGATACTAAGTGATTACTAGGCAGGTAACAGACAGCACAGACACAGGCTGGACATCCCGGACAGGACAGTGCAGGGCCAC